AGAGAATGGGCTGCCTTGGGTGGCAGTGAGCGCCCCCTGTCTGCAGGATGCAGGCTGGATGAGTTTTTGGCCAGCTGTAGTCCGTGGAGGCCTTGGGGGTGGCTGGGCTTTATGGTACTGGGGCCACCCAGCTGGTGAGTGGACTCTTGGCTCAGGTCTGCTGATCTAGGTGGACCTTGTGGGCCTGGAGTGTGCACCCCGCCTTCTGCAAGCTCCCTGGCTGTCTTAGGACTTGTCCCATTCAGCACAGGCTCTGTGCCTAGAGGCTGGGAGTACAGAGCTGGGCACAGCCTTGGCCTGCTCCCTAGAGCCCTCAATACCAAGACTGCAGGGTAGGGGAGATGGGCATGGTGAGGACCTCACAAGGCCACAAAAGGTCTGGGGGCCGGATCCATCGCTGGCAGCCTTGACAAGGCTTCTTTTGTGCCTGGCTGGGCAACTCTGCCTGGGTCTGCTCAGATTGCAGACAGAACCTGGGTGACAGAGGCAAAGCAGAGCCCAGTAGAAAGTGTCCTTATCTCCTGGGGTCTGATAAGGGCCCTGGGGGAGGGTCTGCCGGCCAGCTCTACAGATCTGAGTGCTGGAGGAGCTGGAAGGGCCGGCTGGGGCAGCGGCAGCAGACGCTCGCCCCCTCCCCCACCCCACCCCCACTGCCCCACCGTGGCGGCTGCTCACTGCACAGTATTGATCTAGCGGCTTCTTACACCAACCCTCTCGGCAGCCTGTGGGGGAGGGTGGACTGAGATGGCCCAGCGCCCAGACCCGGCCAGAGATGTTGGGTGTGGGGAGGATTAGGCACCCTTCCCCGTACTGTGCTGGGCACTGCTCCTGAGAAAGGCCCAGTGTCCCCAGCCTGAGGCCAAGAGGAGCTGGTGATACCTCAGAAGCAGCCTGGTCCAATAGCCCCAGTTCCAGCCCAGGTCAGCTCTGTGACCCTGGGTGAGGCACTCACTATCTCTGAACCTTGCTGTCTGTATCATGGGAATGGTCATAAATCTACATTTCAGGAGTGACAGTGAGCATTCACTGGACGCTGGAATGGGTGGCTGGCCCATGCCAGACTCAGGTGCTGCGGTTATGGCCTCTCCTGTGTGCCGGGGTCCAGGAACCACCCTTCTGACTCCTGGTGACCCCATATCTCCTTGCCACTCACCTGAAGTGTCAATAAATACTAATGGGATGGGGTCTGGAAGTCAAGAAAGAAATTGGCTAGGTGTGGTGGCTCAGCCTGTAATCCCAGCAATTTGGGAGGCCAAGGTGGGCGGATCACCTGAGGTCAGGTACTCGAGACCAGCCTGGCCACATAGTGAAACCCTGTCTCTACCAAAAATAGAAAAATTAGCTGGGTGTGGTGACGCACACCTGCAGTCCCGGCTACTCAGGAGGCTGAGGCAGAAGAATCGCTTGAACTCAGGAGACAGAAGTTGCAATAAACTGAGATCACGCCATCCTGGGTGACAGAGCGAGACTCCGTCTCAAAAAAAGAAATGGCTGAGAGGACCACAGTGGCCGGTGGCCCCCCATAGCAGCCCACACCCCAAGCTGCAGAGGGGAGGGGCCCTCATGGCCCCAGAGCCCTCCTTCCCTCCCATTGGACAGTGGGCTTGGTGGCAGAAGAAACAAGTCCTGCTTCATATCCCACCCTACTCTGCCACTTACAGACTTTCTGAGCCTCAGTTTCCTCACCTGAGAAGCAAAGCTTCACCCACGTGGCTCACCCCACCTGTGAGTCTAGGTGGCAGGAAGAGGTTCCTTGTTATTAGGGACAGTTTTTACAGTTACCAGGAGAGCAGCAAGGGCTTGAACACTGGGACTGGGAGTCGTGACCTGGGGACTCATCTGTGCCTTTTGCCCAGTGGCAGCAAAGCAGTTCAGCAAGCTCCCCACACCGCCTACCTGGAAGCAGCAGCACCTCCGGCCCCACCCTCACGTCCCCGCCCCTGCTGTCTCTTCCCTCCTGTGTTCTCCCGAACTTGTCCCACTTAGTGTGGCAGGAAGGTGCCGGGAAACTTCTTCCTGGACCCTGGGGAAAGGAGGAAGCTCCCAGTCCTATGGGTGGTATTGCTGCCACCCGGGCAGATTTATGGACACTTGGCATTCAGCCACCCTGAGCACGCTGTCACTGGTCAGGCGTGCTCTGTCAGCTTCGCCTTGTTATCCAGAGGTTTGGCTGGTCTGCACCAAGGCTGTGTTTCTGCCTACCACCCCCCAACTCCCCCAATCACTGCCCAAGGGGTGCCCCCATCCTCAGCCTCTGGCTCTTCACCCCAGGTGACTGAGGGCTGAAGCCTGGCTGATAGTGAGATGGAAGCTCTTCACTTTCCTGGAACTCAATACTGCTTCTCTGTGTGGAAGGTCCATAGTGCCCTTGGGACCCTCCTGGCAGCCCCTGAACTGGCCCCGGGGTTGAAGGGGCCCCTCTGCTGGTCTCTGGAGCTCTTCACTGCAGACAAGCCAGCACCCTCGCTTTCCTCCCCGGGGCCCCAGACTGATCCCCCCGCCGCCCTCCCCTCCTATCACTCTGCAGATACCGCTAATCAGCCCCTCAGTGGCCCATGATTGTGCTCCCAGAGATATTTTTACCGTATGCAAATAGGTGATGTAGAGGTGCCCTAATCTGCCGGCAGCCAGCTGCATTCCCTTTGCCGTTAGAGCTGGCTGAGCATCATGGCCTCGCCTTCTGGATCTCCCCAAGCACCTTCAGGGAAACTGTCCTTTAAGGATGGTGGATCTGCCACTCCACACCCCCCAGCACAGGAGCCTTGGGAGAGGTTTCCCATGCTTGGGAAGAACAGGGAGGGTACCCACGACATTGCCAGTATCTTACTGAGCTGTGGGAATGCGCCCTGGGCCAGAAGTGAGGAGTGCTGGTGGAGGGGCCCTGGGGGCCTCCTGCCTCCCTCCGCTCTGGGGTTCTGGTGGAGCCTGGCCCATCACCAGTCTTGGAAAGTCCAGACCCATCAGCCCTCTTGGTTGACGATGGGTCAAGGAGGCCGAAGGCTGCCTGCCCCAGGGACAACCACACAGGCCTTGGGTCTCTGTCATTTGCACGTGTGTCGAGCACCATCTGCTGCCCAGGGTCGTGACAGGCACTAGCGTGCACTGCCCATTTCCTCCTCACAGAAACCCGGGAGATGCGGCAGGTCCTGGTGCAACCCCCCTTTTACCGATGACCGACTGAGAGATAAGGAGGTGAAGTCACCTCGGAAATAACCAAGCCAGGCTCTGCCTAGCTCCACCTGTCCCCAGAGCTGGTGGTGGTTTCTCAGCTTCATGTTTCCACCCCATTGCTCTGGGGCTGTTTCCCGGGTCCTGAGAGGCCTCAAAGCTGTGGCGGCACATCCAGTCTGCAACCCTGGCAGCTTCTCCATGCTGCCTTCCTTGGCTCAGCAGCTGCTCCGTCTATCAGCAGCCTGGGTACCGCTGAGCTGGCCTGCCCTGCCATACCAGGGACCTGGCCGGGTGCCAGGGCTGGGCTGGTGGATGGCACTGAGAGAGCAAGTGCCTGAAGTATTAGATGTGAGGTTGGTGGCAGGCAGATATGTGAGCTGTCAGCCTAAAGCAACCTCTGTGTCCAGCTACTCCCCTGCTCTCTGGGCCCTCAGGGTGTAGCCCTCACCTCCCAGAGCACTCAGAGGGCCGGCCTTAAGGGCTTCTCATTCTGGATACCCCTAGAGACCCAGACAAGTCAGACACAGACACTTGCAGTGGCCAAGGTCCAGGGCAGCCCCTGGTCTCTGCTCACTGCCTCCCATGGCGGTCACCGTGCTCTTGAAGGCTTGAGGACATGAAGCAGACAGGGCAGAACCCCCTCTCTACCACAGCTCGTCCTGGCTCTGCCCTCTGGCTTGGCCATGCGACTCGTGGGGTGTGGGTTCCTTGCTTTTTGGGTGGGCTGGGTCTCCCAGGAAGACTGTAAGTTCCTGAAGGCCGGGATGCCTCAGCCTAGTCCTCCCGTGGCCCCCAGCTGGCACAGAAGGTGTTCAGAAACATCTGGCAGGGTGGGTGGTAGATGGATGAGAAGACTTGCCAAGCAAGCCCTAGAAAGGGAAGGGCACACCTGTTGTGTACCAGCTTTTTCAAAGGCTGCCTTCCTCAAACCTCACCCCTCAACAGCCCATGGTTCCCCATTCTATAGGTGAGGAAGCTAGGGCCCAGGGAGAATGAAGACTGTAGTAGACCAGGGCCTGGGCTTCAGGCTTCTATCCCGCCCTCCATCCTGGGTGGGTACCTGCATCTGTCCACTCTTTCCAGGAGATTTAAGGTCTTTGGGGAGCAGTGCCAAAGGGTGAGGCCTCAAGAGGTCCTCAATCCTTTTGGGTCCCCAGCAGTCTCCTTGGCCTGGTAGGGGCCGACCCTGGAGGGGCCAGTGCAGTTGTCAGCTACTGTGGACACGGCTTCTGTCCTAATGGGGGAAGACAAATAGCAAACACCTAATCGAAATATACAGTACGTTAGATGGGTGATAAGCATGGGGGGAAGGAGGGGCTGCAGGGTATAGCTGATGGGGCCTTTTTAACATGTCAGAGAACACCTCTTAGATAAGGTGGTATGGAAACAACAACCTGAAGAAAATGAGGATGAAAGCCACACAGTTGTCTGGCGGGAGAGTGCCTCAAGCAGCAGGGGCAGCAAGTGCAAAGGCCCTGAGGCAGGAGCGTGCCCAGCTGGGTGGATTGTGGTGAGGGCTGGCTAAGGTGGGGTGACAGAGTGAGGACCTTGTGGCTCCTGTACAAATGGCTTTTCCTTTGCAATGGGAAATCTTCAGAGGGTTCTAAGCAGAGGATTGACCAGATCTGACCTGGCCTTTGTTCTGGCTCTTGTGAGGAGAGATGACAGGGAGGAGGGTGCTGAGGCTCACACGGTCACCTGGACAGGAGGTGATGATGGCTCAGATAGGGCAGCGGTGGTGGAGGTGGTGGGAAGCAGTTGGCACAGGCTGTACATGTTTGGAGGTAGCAGTGCCAGGACCTGCTGACGGGGTTGTGGCTTCTTTGCAGAACTGGCTGCGGCTCTATGGCTACCTACCCCAGCCCAGCCGCCATATGTCCACCATGCGTTCTGCCCAGATCTTGGCCTCAGCCCTTGCTGAGATGCAGCGCTTCTACGGGATCCCAGTCACGGGTGTGCTCGACGAAGAGACCAAGGAGTGAGTTCCCCCCTCATCCAGACCCCACAGACACCTGCCCTCCATCTGGCCCGTTCTAGAGGGCTCAGCATGTGGAGTTTCCAGAAAAGAGTGGCCTAGATAAGAGATGCCAAATGGTTTGGTCCTCCATGCCAGTTCTCATTGGTTGGAGTGGCTGCCCAAAGCCTTGTGTTGAGAAAGCGCCAAGGGCAGAATCCAGGCCTTGGCAGTAAGGAGCACAGTGATCGATTAGTGATGTCTGACATGGCCAGGGGAGTGTGGAGGTGCAGTCCAGGAGCTGTGGATGGGAAATCCTAGCTAGGCATGGCTACGAATCTAACAAGTGACATGACCTAAAGCCATGTCCCTGAAAAGAATGCACAGGGCATAACGTATCCAGGACAGAAGGCCTTGAGCGACCCTCCATTACTGGGTGATAAGGAGAGAAGGGCTCACCTTGACTGAGCCACTTCTGGGCACTCAGTCTTCCAATACAGGCATTTTGCCCATTTTACTGGAAGTTGAAGCTGAGAGTGCCCCATCCCCACCATGTCATAGGAGGGGCAGCTGGGAAGCCTGGAAGTGGCAGTACCAGAACAGGCAGGTGTGTAGAGGAGAGGCTCCATGCCCACCCCTCTGTGTCCATGTCACAGGTGGATGAAGCGGCCCCGCTGTGGGGTGCCGGACCAGTTCGGGGTACGAGTGAAAGCCAATCTGCGGCGGCGGCGGAAGCGCTATGCCCTCACCGGGAGGAAGTGGAACAACCACCATCTGACCTTCAGGTAGGGGGCTCAGCTGCCCAGGGAGGCGTCTGCCCCTTGGCAGGCCGAGCCTCAGGCCTCCTTTCCCAGAGCCCACCCCGGGGCACCCAGCCTCAACAGACCAGCCCACTCCCACACTGATGAGACCAGCCACACATGCCAGGCAGTCTCCCTTGAGAGAAGGTCAGGACCCTTCAAGCTACTTCCGCCCTGTCCTTCCCCACCTCCCACTGCCCTGCAGACAGGGGCTGGCCTCACTGGGCACAGCTGGGCTACTGCCCCAGCACAGACTGCGGTGAGGGGTGGAGGATGGCTGGGGTGCAGGAATCCAGGCATCCATCAAGTGAACAGGCAAGTCGCCTGCAGAATCCTTGGATCAGGGACCCTCATCCTTTTTGCTGAGTCCTTGAGCAAGAAAAGCCCCCAGCCAAGTGTGCCTTGAGCCATGTGATTTTGCCCCAAGGGTTCCCCTTTTTGTTCCAGTCTGGCTCTGTTCCCACTCTGAATTCCATCTCCCAAGGAAGAGTGGCTCCTATGGTCACTTAGACCTCAAGCCCCGAGAGTGAATTCAAGGTACAACCAACTAAAATATTCCCTTCAGGTTTAATGGAAGTCTCTCTAGCACACAGAGCTGAAAGTGATTTATATGTGTAAGAGCAGGCTTCGCCATACTTCATCAAATGCAGGCTCTGGCTACAACTTACTTCCTCTAATCCTCACTGGAACCCAGTAAAGAAAGTAACACACACACACACACACACACTTTTCTAACTTAACAGATAAAGAAACTGACCAGGCACAGTGGCTCACGCCTGTAATCCCAGCACTTTGGGAGGCTAAGGCCGGTGGATCACCTGAGGTCAGGAGTTCAAGACCAGCCTGACCAACATGGTGAAACCCCATCTCTACTAAAAATACAAAATTAGCCGGGTGTGGTGGCGTGTGCCTGTAGTCCCAGCTACTCAGGAGGCTGAGGCAGGAGAATCCCTTGAACCTGGGAGGCGGAGGTTGCAGTGAGCCAAGATCGTGCCACTGTACTCCAACCTGGGTGACAGAGCAAGACTCCATCTCAAAAAAAAAAGAAGTTGGAAATAGAGAGACTAAGTTACTTACCCAAGGTCACACAGATACTGTTAGAGCCAGGCCTTGAACTCAGGTCTGTCTGACCCTGGAGCTCAACATTCAGAACTGCTCAGCCTGTGTTTCCCAAACCTCACCCATTTGCATCCCATTTTCTAGATCTTTCCCCCAGCCACATAGTACCTGTATTTTAGTTTACTTAATGTCTCTCTTACTTAAAATCAGTTTATTTGCCACAGTGCAATCTTAATTTAATGATATCTTCGTGATCTCCTGGATTTGACAAATTCAAATTATGATTTACATCAAAGCAAACTGCCAATTGATACTAACGGGCTTGTTGGTGACCTTGCGTGCCCCTCTTGGGAACAGGCCAGCAGAGGACAGTAGGCCCTTGGCCCTGTATCCGCTCACTCATCTCCCACCCACCCCCAGCATCCAGAACTACACGGAGAAGCTGGGCTGGTACCACTCGATGGAGGCGGTGCGCAGGGCCTTCCGCGTGTGGGAGCAGGCCACACCCCTGGTCTTCCAGGAGGTGCCCTATGAGGACATCCGGCTGCGGCGGCAGAAGGAGGCCGACATCATGGTACTCTTTGCCTCTGGCTTCCATGGCGACAGCTCGCCGTTTGACGGCACCGGTGGCTTTCTGGCCCACGCCTATTTCCCTGGCCCCGGCCTGGGCGGGGACACCCATTTTGACGCAGATGAGCCCTGGACCTTCTCCAGCACTGACCTGCATGGTGAGGACAGCTAGCCAGGGTTGGGGGCAGGGCAGGTGGCGCCAGAGCTGGGCAACAGTGCCCTGCTGAGTGGGTTCAGCAGCCGTGGAGCTGGGAGGAGAGAGTTCCCCTGTGTTTGTCTCCGGATCACTACACTCGATTTCAGTCTGTTGTCCCACCATCTCCAAGGGGAGGCAAGAAAGGATGATTGTACCCATTTCTCAGAGAGGGTTGTTGTAGACCAAAAGAGCTCAGCCTCTTCCAAGAGGGAAGCAAGGGCAGGCTCTCTGGCAGCCTCAGCCTGGAGGGTCCGGGGTGGTTAGGTCCTGGGACTGGCCAGAGCTGACTGTGCTGCCTCCTCCTGTCCCCGAAAGGAAACAACCTCTTCCTGGTGGCAGTGCATGAGCTGGGCCACGCGCTGGGGCTGGAGCACTCCAGCAACCCCAATGCCATCATGGCGCCGTTCTACCAGTGGAAGGACGTGGACAACTTCAAGCTGCCCGAGGATGATCTCCGTGGCATCCAGCAGCTCTACGGTGCGTGGGCTGTTACCAGCCGGCTCTGCATGCCGCTCTCAAGTCCCTGCCCAATGAGGAGTAGGCATTACTGCCATCCCCATTTTGTAGATGAGAAACCCAAAGCCCAGTGAGGATTCGTGACTTGCCCACATCATTTGGGGAATAAATGGTGGTGCTGGAAGTGAAACCCAGAGCTGACTGCCTCCAGCGCCTGGCCCTCACTCGAGGCTGTGGCTACAGGCTAGAGGCCTTGAAGGGACACAGGTGGCACCATTGTTCCTCATGACCCTCCTCTCCTTACCCTTGGCAGTATTCTTACTAGACCACAAGTGCCTTGGGGATCCCAGGACCCGCCCCCTCCCACCATCACTTCCAGCCTGAGCCTGTCACAGCTCTGTTCACAGTGTTGCCAGTTTATCACTTCCCAGTGGCTTTGAGGAAGTGCCACCCCCCACCTAGGGCCCACCCGAGAAAGTCTCCAGCAGTGAGGTCCCCTGGGCCAGTTCAGTGGGCCTGCACCCTGTGCTCACACCGAGCCCTGCTCGGGGCCGGCAGCTCCTGCCATGCTGGGCACTTGATGGGCACCCCTTGCTGCATCCCCAGCAACTTGGAAATGCAGAGTCCAAAACGCCTGAAGCCAGGGCCTGGAGCCTCTGCTGGAGCAGGCTGGCATCCCAAGGGGAATGTCCCCAAGGGGACATGCAGGCAGACACCCTCAGGAGCACAGTGACGCAAGGTCAGTGTGGGGAGGTCGAGGAGGGGCTAGGAGGAGGACCCAGGTCCCACCGAGGATGGAGGCAGGTGTTGGGGAGGGGTCTGCTGTAGCTGGACAGGATTTTACTTTCCACCTGGGTGGGCCTGTGCAGGGGGCCCGGGGCCCAGGATTCTGAGTAGGAACACAGACCTCACTTCTGAACAGACTGCCTCTCTGCAGGTACCCCAGACGGTCAACCACAGCCCACCCAGCCTCTCCCCACTGTGATGCCACGGCGGCCAGGCCGGCCTGACCACCGGCCGCCCCGGCCTCCCCAGCCACCACCCCCAGGTGGGAAGCCAGAGCGGCCCCCAAAGCCGGGCCCCCCAGCCCAGCCCCGAGCCACAGAGCGGCCCGACCAGTATGGCCCCAACATCTGCGACGGGGACTTTGACACAGTGGCCATGCTTCGCGGGGAGATGTTCGTGTTCAAGGTCTGGCCCTGCCTCCCATGCCTGTCCCTGAGCCTTTTCGCTGGCTGCTCTGGGCCCCCTGTCCCACCCTCACTCAGCAGGACCCGGGGAGCCGTTAAGCCCTCAGCTCTAGACGAGGCGGAATCCAGCCCGAGAGGTTGAGGGACTTGTCCAGGGTCACATAGCAAGCCCTAGTGCCAGCTCCCCAGCTCAGGGCTGTTTCTGTGCAGCCCTGAGTTTCCAAGCCACTGCCTGCCTCAGTATCTCAGTGTCCTCTCCCTGAGCCCACCCTCACCCGGGAAGGGGTGGTTTGAGGATGGCACCTCTTGGCCAAGGCAGCTTGCCTGTGCTGCCTGCTCACACCGCGCCCTCCCCAGGGCCGCTGGTTCTGGCGAGTCCGGCACAACCGCGTCCTGGACAACTATCCCATGCCCATTGGGCACTTCTGGCGTGGTCTGCCTAGTGACATCAGCGCTGCTTACGAGCGCCAAGACGGTCGTTTTGTCTTCTTCAAAGGTGAGCAGGGGTAGGGTTAGGGGGCTGGGCACCCTTCCTGCCATGACCTCTGACCCTGCTGGACCCGAGGGAAGACGGGGTGAAGGGCTGCGTTGCATATCTGGTCCTGTGCCCCAACTGTGGGCTCACTCTGGGAGGATGGGGACACAGCAGCAAGGTGGGGACGGGAGGAAGATAGAGGCCGGGGGCAGAGTTGGACCTGCGACCCGGAAGTACCTGGCCACCTCGTGCAGCACAGGGCTCAGCCCTGCTTCCCTCTCTCCTTGCCTCTTTGCCTCCAGCAGCCCCATCCTCATAAGAACAGGTGCCCCCAGCCCACTCCGGGGCCAGATTTCTGTGGTCTGTCTGCAGAGACAAGGTCTTGCAGGGCAGCGCCCCGTGGTGGGTCCGCCGGGGCTCTAACCCCACTGTCCTGAGCTTCAGCGAGGCATGAGCGAGGCATGAGGACAGGGCTGCCCCACACCAAAAGCAGGGAGCACTGGGCCACACACTAAGGGCTGTGAGTGTGCTCCAGGGACACAGCCCCCAGACCCAGAGACCAGGCAGCCCCCTCCCCATACAAGAACTATATGTGTGGGGGTGGGTGGCGTGTGGCATGTACGGGTGTGAGCAGGTGACTTGCTCATGGGAACAAGTGTGCCTCAGGTGTCCGTGAGTGCGGCACGTGATGTGCGGGTGACTGCATTGTATGTTGTCATGGATATGTAGAGGGGTGTGAGTGTGATTTTGTGTGCCTTAGGGGGACAGCAGTGGATGTGAATGGATTTGTGGGCCCAGAAGAGCATTCTTTTCCCACACACACCCCTCAGCCCCAGGCCTGTCCTCACTTTGCCTCCCACCTCTCCTGCAGGTGACCGCTACTGGCTCTTTCGAGAAGCCAACCTGGAGCCCGGCTACCCACAGCCGCTGACCAGCTATGGCCTGGGCATCCCCTATGACCGTATCGACACAGCCATCTGGTGGGAGCCCACAGGCCACACTTTCTTCTTCCAAGAGGACAGGTGAGCAGTGCACCCCTCCCCTAAGGGGAGAAGGCCCCGGCTAGGCCCCCCTCAACCTCAGGCCTACCCAGAAAGAATCCACTACCTGTGGGGAATGGGTCCTGGCCCAAGCAAGGTCTCTAGGTCCACAGCCTGGTGCTTTTGGTCGCAGGTACTGGCGCTTCAACGAGGAGACACAGCGTGGAGACCCTGGCTACCCCAAGTCCATCAGTATCTGGCAGGGGATCCCTGCCTCCCCTAAAGGGGCCTTCCTGAGCAATGATGCAGGTACCTGGCCAGCCCCTCCCAGTTTGCCCAGCACCTAATAACCCCTGCTACACACACCATGGGGCAGGGCTTGCCCACGGTCACCCGGCACTATGATGGTGTGTATAGGGGACACGCTGTGTTACGCTCTGGGCTGGGAGCTTACCTAGCTTGACACCCCGGTCCTTCCCGCGTGGTTAAAATTCCCTTTTTACACACAGGCAAACTAATAAACCAGAGAGCTTGAGCAGAGTGCCCAAATCCCACAGCCAGGACGGTACGGAGTCAGGATTCCAGGCCAGTTCTGCCTGCATCCGGAGCTGCAGCTCGGAACTGCCCTGATGCCCACAGAGTCCAGCTGCCCCCAGGCAATCCCAGGGGAGCCTTGAGCCTGAGTGGGGCAGGCTTGGCTCAGAGTGTTAGGGGTGAAAATCTTCCCAGGGCATCGCTCATCTACCTAGAAGGAAAGCCCTGTCTCTGTCATTATAACCAAGAGACAGAGAGCTGTGCCTCTTCTATTTCTCTAGCAAGGTCTCTAGTGCATTTAAGAAAAACCAGCCAGGTGTAGTGGCTCACACCTGTAATCCCAGCTCTTGGAGAGGCCGATGCGAGAGGATAGCTTGAGTCCAGGAATTCGAGACCAGCCTGGATAACATAGTGAGACTCGATCTCTACAAAAGAAATTTTTTAAATCAGCCAGGTGTGGTGGCTTGCACCTATAGTCTCAGTTATTTAGGAGACTACGGTGGGAGGATCGCTTGAGTCTGGGAGATCAAGGCTGCAGTGGGCCGTGATTGCACCACTACACTTCAGCTTGGGTGACTCAGGGGGGACCCTGTCTGCTTTGCCAGTGCTCAGGCCCGTTACACAGCTTCTGTATGTGAGCTTGGCACTATGCAGCTGCTCTGATCTCTTTTGCTCACCCCTTGATTGAAACCTGGCCCTGCCTGGTGTTGATGGGATGCTGGCAAGGTGTCCAAGGCCAGAGAGCCAGCCCAAGGCAGCACCAGGTTCCTTCCGCTCTAGAACAACTGTGGGGTGCTGTGTGGCCTTGAGCAAGACCCTGAACCTCTGGTATGAGGTGAAACCAGTTCTGGCAAGGGGCAGCAGGATCCTTTACTGCAGCACCCAACCCAGCAGGCTATAGGACCCTTCCAGGCCCTACCCCAGCTAATGTCAGTCTGGTCAGGAAGCCCAGGATTCTAGTCGTGCCCTCAGCCCAAAACCCTCCCTCAGCCCAAAACCCTCTGAGCCTCAGTCTGGCTCCTCCAAGTTGAGAAGGGGAAGATTTGAAAATGCCCAGGGAAGCAAATGACAAGAAGGGCGTTTTGAAGCCCTCGGCATGTCCTGGCCTTTGATGGTCTCACTGGTGGTTGGGCTCGACCTGAAGCCACTCTGGCCTCCTTGCCCCCACAGCCTACACCTACTTCTACAAGGGCACCAAATACTGGAAATTCGACAATGAGCGCCTGCGGATGGAGCCCGGCTACCCCAAGTCCATCCTGCGGGATTTCATGGGCTGCCAGGAGCACGTGGAGCCAGGCCCCCGGTGGCCCGACGTGGCCCGGCCGCCCTTCAACCCCCACGGGGGCACAGAGCCCGGGGTGGACAGCGCAGAGAGCAACATGGAGGATGGGGATGGGGACTCTGGGGCTGGGGCCAACAAGGACGGGGGCAGCCGCGTGGTGGTGCAGATGGAGGAGGTGGCACGGACGGTGAACGTGGTGATGGTGCTGGTGCCACTGCTGCTGCTGCTCTGCGTCCTGGGCCTCACATATGCGCTTGTGCAGATGCAGCGCAAGGGTGCGCCGCGCGTGCTGCTGTACTGCAAGCGCTCGCTGCAGGAGTGGGTCTGACCCCCCGGCGCTCCTGCTCACGGTGCTCAGGGGGCACCTGTGGTTTTGAGATGGCTCCCAGGGGCTCCCTCCGCCCCCAGGTAGGGGCCCCTCTCAGCCCTCACACACCCTGTCTGCCCCGCCCTCATTATTTATGCCCAGGTGTTTGTTTTGTTTTGTTTTTGGCACCTTACTTGACCATTTGTTTCTGTTTCCCCGACCGGGGAAGGGTGTTTAGAATTTTCTAACTGTAGTTCTGCTCCAGACAGGGAATTAGGCCCCCATCGTCCTCTGGCTTGGCCACAGCTAGAGGAGCAGAGGGGCAGAGGCCCACGTTGGAAGAGTAGCCCCTCCTCAGCCTGAGCCCCGGGCCGTAACTGCAGACTCTTTACCCAGTTGGAGACTGGCTGGCCCCCCTGGTCCGCTCCCTCCCAAGTGAGTCTCTCTGGGCCTGAGGAAGAGCTTTCCACCCAGGGGCAGCCCCAGGCCGAAGGGGACCTGGAAGGGAGGTGGGCCGTGGCCCCTGAGCCTGTGTTGAGGCTTGGTTCCTTCCCAATCCACTTCTGACAGCCTCAGCGACCCTGGCTCCTTGTGCCTGAGAACCCAGCCCACCCCCAGCAGCAACTCCCAGCTCCCACCTCCCCTTGGGCCCACACCTCGTTCCCTCTCTGGAGAAAGGGCCCTGGGCCTGCCTCACCACGGACCAAAGGGAGTATGCCAAGGCCCCTCTCCCCGGGGTAGCAGCAGCCTCGCCCCTAGCAGAGATGCCTCCCTGAGCTAGAACCCTCTGTCCCCCCCGCTGCACCTCCTCCTTCCCTCTCCCACTCACACCACCAGCCTCAGGGGCCTAAGCTCCAGCTCCCTCAGGCTTCAGTTGCCAGTGTCCTGAGCCCCAGGGAGAGGGGGCTGACGGGTGCCTAGGCCTGGGCAGTGGATGGCTGTGAATGGGTGCCCACCTTTTGGGTGCCCACAGTGCCGGGCACTGGGCATGCGGAGTTCCTCCCTTCCAGCTCCCTGTGCCCGCAGGGTCCTGGGAGGAGAGACACTGGTGGGGATAGGCCAGCCACGCATCAGACTGTGAACCCCACTAAGGAGCCCATTGTGGCCTGAGGCTGCCCTCCTCCGGGGTTCAGCCCTGAGGACAGAGATGCCTCCTTCCTCTTTTCCTTCCCAAAGCAAGCAGGAGGCTGTGGCTGCTGTGGGAAATGGTACTGTACAGCTGGCTCTGCTTCCCCATGGCCCTGAGCGAGTGGGGTCTGCCACCCAGGATCCCCGAGGCGCTTTGGGGGCGAAGGGTTCTGCTGGCCTCTGCGAGTGGTTTCTCGTGCACTGGCACCAAGTGCGGGTCCGGCAGCTTCTGCCCCCTGCAGAACCGGAGAGCCAGCCAAGGGGTGGGGCTGCGGGGGTTCCGTGTCCACCCCCATACATTGATTTCTGTAAATAATGTGCACTGAATAAATTGTACAGCTGGCAAGTGTGTTCTTGTTTGTAAGGCCTTGGGCTGGAGCCTCCAGCTGGAAGGGCGTGCAGGTGGTGGGGGTCCAGCCCTTGCTAGGGTTAGGGGGCTTGACCTCAATGCCAAGGAGACCTTGTTCAAATTCCGTGGGGGCTCCTTCCCGATGGCCCTTGGAAACTAGGCCCTGGGAGGGGCAGAGCTTAGGGCTGCCCTCAAGAGTCCAGAAAAGGGAGAGGCAGGGCACCTGGGGTCACCCTGCCGGGGTGGGGCAGGAGGGAGCATGGAGTTAGTTTGCTGTTTGTTCGTGCTGAGAAGACAACCCAGTTTGCCACAAGCCCTTCCCATCTAGGAGTGGAGGAAGAGCCAGGCCAGGCCTCCCAGGCTGGGTTCTGAACACTAACGGGAGCCCAGAGCCGGCCACAGAGAGAGATGGGAAATGGTGCCACTTTGATTCCAAAAGTTCCCTTCCCCACACATGCTGCTCAGAGTGGCAGACACCCAAGACCTGCCCTTTCATCTTTGAGAAGCAGAAAATCCCACCCAGGCCTGTGCAGGGTGCAAGTGATACCCCAGGAGGGCAGGAGACTGAGGCGTCACGGTCCCTTGAGTCTGAGCATGGCTGTGGACCCGGGAGGTCTTCCTTAGCCCCCACATCCATGCTCTTGGCCAGGCCTCTTAGGTACTAGCCTGGGCCCCCAGGAATGTGATGATTTGCCGCAGTAGGGGTCGCACCCCCACCATGGAGCAGGCCAGGCCTCTGCAAGTCCTCAGGCAGGGTCCTTCCTCCTGTTCCAGGCCCAGCCCCCACACCCACAACCGGTCCCATCCCATCCCCTTCCTCTCTTTGTGTTGAAACTGGCTGAGGAGAGTAGGAAGTGCTGGCCCTTGGAAACCTCGAAGGCCTCTCTCTCAGGCTCATCTAGGAAACAGCCGGCGAGCTCCCCCACCACAGGGGCCTTGGCAGCAGCAGGGGGGATTCCAAGCAGCTGCCATCTTGTCAGCTTTCCTGTGGCAGAAGCCACGGGGTCCCTCCGGGTCTGCCTCCTACCTGAGTCCCTAGGGTCCCCCAAAAGCCCAGAGGTCACCAGGCAGGTGGAGGGCAGTGTGGGGGCCCAGGGATGAGAGGAGAGTTTGAAAAGCCTTGAGTCAAGCCCTTCCTCACAGCCAAGGACAGTGGAGAGAGTTGGCAGAGGCCTCAGCTCCTCAGGAAACTGCCTAATAAACTGCCTAATGAGCCTTCCTCCCTCAAGCTCGCTGCTAAAATCTCAGAGGCCTAGTGGCTGAAGGCACGGCCCATCCAAGAGCCCTATCTATCCTTATAGGGGGCTTTGCATGAGGAGGGGTGGGCAGGGCAGCTAGGCCCTGTCTCCCCTCCACGTCCAGAGAGCCCGGAGCCCAGGCCTGCCTGAGGCCTAACCCCGTCCCTTCTCCCCAGGATTAAACAGGAGCCTGCATCTTTAAATAGTTTTTTTGTTTTTTAAGGTGACTGTAACCTAAACTCACCTTGGGCCCCTCGCAGCCCCCATTCCCTCAGCACCCATTTTTCCTTTACATTTTTACTAATTACAGCCGCAAAAACTAAGACATTAATGATAAGCAAAAAGAAGAAAAGCCTCAGTCGCCATAATCTCCCAGCCTGTGTTGACAATTTGACATGATTTGACACATTTCCTTATAACATTTTTTTTCCTGCATTTGCACAGCTTGGAGTTTTAGAGTCTTTTTTTTTTTTTTTTTTTTTTTGAGACGGAGTCTCGCTCTGTTGCCCAGGCTGGAGTGCAGTGGCCGGATCTCAGCTCACTGCAAGCTCCGCCTCCCAGGTTTACGCCATTCTCCTGCCTCAGCCTCCCAAGTAGCTGGGACTACATTAGCTGGGACTACAGGCACCCACCACCTCGCCCGGCTAGTTTTTTTTGTATTTTTTAGTAGAGACGGGGTTTCACCGTGTTAGCCAGGATGGTCTTGATCTGACCTCGTGATCCGCCCGTCTCGGCCTCCCAAAGTGCTGGGATTACAGGCTTGAGCCACCGCGCCTGGCCGGAGTTTTAGAGTCTTAAACATCCGGTGCCTGAGCCCTGATGCTGCAGCCTGTGGGAGGTGGACAGAGGATGCTGGGTGGCTGCAAGGTGTTGGCAACAGGGGCTGGCACCAGGCACATGCTAAATATGTGATTGTGACCCCAAGGCTCACAAGTTTCCCATCTACATTTTACTCAGGAGAACAGAGGCTCAGAGAGGTGAAGTGACTTGGCCAACGTCACACAGCTAGGAAATGGCCATGCCCTTAGGACCCAGCTGGACTAATGTGCACCGCAGCCCAGCTCTACCCAACCCTGGGGCTGCCGCAGCATCGGGACAGGGGCAAGGTGGCCCCTGCCCATCAGCCTTCCTCCTCACACATTCTATGCATCAAAGACCCCAGGGCCACCAACAGAGCCTTCTTTCAGGCTGGGGCAGGGGCTGAATTGGCTGCTTCCTCCCCCTTCTACTTGGCAGAAAAGCCTTTTTGTTGTGGCCCACACAGAGGCCATTCTCCTCGGGCTCACGGGAAGGAATGCCGGCTTCCTGCGCATCCACAGTGCCCAGGCCACACGGGGTCCTGCGTATAGGTCCCAGAGGAGCCCCTCCACACCCTCCAGCCCTGCCTCAGGGAACTTCGGCTCCCAGACTTTCCTCCTTACCCTTGACAATTTGAGAAACCACACAGGGAGGTAGGGGACAGCCCCCCTCGGCTACCTTGGTAAATGCTGGGGATTTTCAGCCTCATAGCACTTTCAAGACGCAGCAGTTCCACCCTCAGCTGACTTCTCAAGTGGCCTCATGACCCACAAAGTGTTGGCAGAGGCCCCTGCCAGGCTTCTCGCCCTGTCTCAAATGTCCCCTGCACTTGCCTGCCTCTATGCCTTTCCTTACGCTGTTCCCTCCCCTGGAAAACTTTTCCCTGTACATCTCATCCAGTGCAAATGGCATAGACCCTTCAAGGCCCAGGGTGTGGCTTCCCCATCCCAGATTCCGCCTGCTTTCCTCAAGGTGGTTGTTTCCTTCTGCCTCTGGCTCCACAGCACATGGATCTCCTCAGCTCTGAGCCCAGCCTGCCCCTTGTTCCAGGCACCCAGACGCTGACCATGGCTCCATCACTCACAGCGCGGGGGTGCGTCCTTGGGAAAGTACCTCCACCTCTCTGAGCCAATTCCCTACCGGTACAATGGGCACGTGGTCATGCCTCTTCCATCACGCGGCTTGGTGGAGCTGATGCTTAGAAACACGTAGAACAGCTCCTGGCTTGTGAACGGCTCTCGATGGTTTGTTACCAATATCCCTACTCTAAGTGCAGGTACCTGGTGGGCACTGGGGTGGTGTCCGTTTCCTGCCTGTGGGATGGGGTCACAGGTCGGCCAGCCTGAGGACAGGTGCCTGGGAAGAGGGACATTCCTGTCCCACCCGCTTCCCTCCCAGCTGCCGAGGCCTCACCCCACTGGGCCCTGGGGACAGGGCTGCCGTGCCCCAGCTCCTCCCTCACCGAAGCACTTGCCCTTCTTCCCAGACTCTGGGCTCCAAGCCCCAGGCTCAGGTTTCCTCTCCAAGCACCTCTGACACCTCCCACCCCCACATCTTTCACTTACTCCAGGCTTCGCCAGAAATAGCCTTGCAACTCCCCTCCACTAACAGCCAAGCTCAGAGGCCTCTCTTGGACAAATAATATTACTCCTCTCTCAACATGGGTCACAGCATGATTTCTTAATGGGATCAACTGGATTCCATTTAAAACTGTTCAGAAACAGGGCAAGGTGGTGCATGCCTGTAGTCTCAGCTACTTAGGAGACTGAGGCGGGAATTCGAGGCTGCAGTGAGCTAGGACCATGCCATTGCCCTCCAGCTTGAGTGACAGAGCAAGACCTTGACTCTTAAAAAAAAAAAAAAAAAAGAGAGAGAGAGAAAGGCTGGGCGCAGTGGCTCACTCCTGTAATCCCAGCACTTTGGGAGGCCGAGGCAGGTGGATCACCTGAGGTCAGGAGTTCAAGACCAGCCTGGCTAACATGGTGAAAGCCAATCTCTACTAAAAATACAAAAATTAGCCGGACATGGTGGTGGGTGCCTGTAATCCCAGCTGCTCCGGAGGCTGAGGCAAAGAGAACTGCTTGAACCCGGGAGGCAGAGATTGCAGTGAGCCCAGATCTCACCACTGCACTCCAGCCTAGGCAACAAAGCAAGACTCTGTCAAAAAAAAAAAAAAAAAAAAGTCAAACTAAAAATATTTGAAGAGATTTATTCTGAGCCAAATATGAGTGACCAACAGCCTGTGACATGGCCCTCAGGAGACCCTGAGAACATGTGCCCAAGGTGGTCAGGGCACAGCTTAGTTGTATGCATTTTGGGGAGAAATGAGACATCAATCAAATACAGTTAAGATAAATGTTAGTTTGGTCCAGAAAGGCAGGACAAAGTGGGGGCTTCCAAGTTATACATAGATTTTAAATTTTACTTTGTTGAAAAGAGTTATTATCAATAGAAAGGAATGTCTGGGTTGCGATAAAGGATTGTGGAGACCAAGGTTTCATCATGCAGATGAAGCCTCCAGGTAGCAGGCTTTCCGAGAGAATGGATTATAAACATTTTTGTTGTTGTTGTTGTTGTTTGTTTGTTTTTTTATCAGACTTGAGATCTGTGTTGATGCTAAATGCTGGTTGGCTTTTCCTGAATTCCAAAAGGGAAAAGGATACAAGGAGGCATGTCTGACTCCCCACCCTTTCCGTCATGGCCTCTAGCACTTTTTCAGTTTAACTTTGGAGTGCCCTTGGCCAAAAGGAGGGAGTCCATTCAGATGACTGGCGGGAGGGGGCTTAGAATTTTATTTTTGGTTTTCTGTTCTTGTGATAGTTTGCTAAGAATGATGGATTCCAGCTGCATCCAAGTCCCTCCGCATATTCTCACTCATAGGTGGGAACTGAACAATGAGATCACTCGGACTCAGGAAGGGGAACATCACACATCGGGGCCTATCATGGGGAGGGGGGAGGG